CAGGATGGCATCAGGGTGAAATCAGCACTGCCGCAACTCCACCCCAGGCCGGCCCCTTGTGCCAGTCTGCATTGGCCCTTAGATAAGATATCTTGTAATGTCCCAACAGGTGGATCCAAATGACAATTATAACTTCTTCATCACCCACCGTTGCACAGAGTATGTCATTTCAGTTAGAAACATGAAGTCTAACAAAAGATGAAAATCTATATACACAAACATTTAAAGGAGCACTTTCATCCTGATATTCTTCCCCTTCACTCTGAGAACTAGAGAAGAGTTTCCATGACCAGAGACAAGGCATTCAAGACAAGGCCCTGAGATCTAGGAATTCTAGTAAAGAGATCTCCAGTATTTCATCCCAGAGCACAGGATGATCCTATCATTGGAAGCTGCATATCACTGGAATCTTCTATGCTTGTCTTGTGAACTTTATTGGCCATATTAGTTTCTCTTTCATTGGTGGCCATTAACAAAGTGAACACTGGATTGCCCAACTCTTTTCTGGAGAAGAACAAAGGACTTTTAACCAATCTCTTATTTGCTAGGTTTCATTAAATTCCTCAAAATGAAAAAAGATTTCAGAAATCTATCTGATTTTTTTGAGTAAGCCTTTCTATACAGACATTTTGAAAGGAGAAACAGCACACCATTGTTCTTATGAACTCTTTAGTACAGGCAGACACAGATCTTCTGATATTGTACTGACCTCCAGCTTGTTCCTGTCATCCCACAGGAGAAGGGAATCATGCCAGGTGTCAATGACAACTGTACAGTCTCCATGGCCAACTTCACCATAACAAAACAGAAGTATCTTGTTTAACAGGGACTTCCCGCCTTTATTTCTCATGCATGAGAGCTAAATGAGCCTAGCTGATCTTTCTCATTGCTGATTGCATATTTGTCTCCCGTCCCAAATTGTGGAGAGGGAGCAATTTAAACCATACTAAAGCCCAGGTAATGTCTCAGCACCATTGATGACTTCCTTCCTTCCTTCCTTCCTTCCTTCCTTCCTATCATTTCTATATTGTCCACCACGACAAGAGATTCCAGGGAGGTGTACAGGGATCCCAGAACTGTTTTAAAGATATATTTGTATGTGGAAGATCAGGATTGGCAGGCAGGTTGTTATTAATACTGGTTACTTGCAGGTGAGGGCAGGGGGGTTAAATTCCTTTCCCCATCCATTACTATTGAAACATTCATAAATATGAAGACTCTAAGAAGCACAATGTATGCTTAGATGTGTATTCCAGGTGTTCATTGTAGCCTACTCACAAGTAAATGTTTCTGGGAGAGATTTCAGGCAGTCTTTATTATTCCTGGGAAAGTTCAACAAAAGCAACTGTCTTAAAGTTTCTTAGCACTTTTATCATTTAATACACCTCTGGACCTGCATTCTGCTTGAGACTTCCACTTTCATAAATAGCCTTACATGTGCACAAAATCAAACTGAGTAGGTTTGTAATGTCCATATTTCCCTGCAGGTTGTCATGATTTTATGTGTATAGGTGTCCACTAAACAATGGTAACCAATGTGGAGGGACTGATGCACCAAAGCCAATGCTCATGGGCATCAATGCATATTGGAGTGGTCCCTGATATGCACCAGGACATTGGCTAGGATGTGTTATTCCAATGCACTTCAGAAGAGCCCAATATGGATTAAAAGTGCCCAGTGCACATCTTTGCATCACCAGGATTTCATTGCATTTGCATGAGCCAAATAAATTGTCCTCCCCTGTTCTGTTGGCAGACAGTCCAGGTGATGCATGGCCCAAACCCTGTTTCCGGTGCAAACAGGCCAGATGACATCTGGCCTGTCAGCATCAAACCTGGGGCAAATCCCCCTTACAATGTATTTTTGAAACTTGCTGTTTGCTCCAGATCTTTCTGGAAGATCTGGAGCCCCCCATTGCTATGTGGGATGGCTGATTACATGTGTGTCCTGCTGTGCCACATTGTGTGGTCAGTGCAGCAGCAAAGTCACTTGCTCTGAGTCAAAAAAGGTGGCCAGTGATATGATTGATGCTGAGTGCCTTGTTTTGACCTAAGGAGTGAGTGGCTTACCACCACACTGGCCACACCAGGTGACACAATGGGAAGTGCATGTGATCAGCCACCCAATGTCACAATGGAGGCTCTCAAGTAACAGGGAGAGGGTGGGCAACTTTGGGGCCAGGATACTCTGGCTTGCCCTGGAACAATTATGTCCAATGCAAACAGGGCCTAAGTTATGAACTGTAGAGTGTGATGTAGGATCTCACCCAATTGATCATTTTAGTGGAAGCTCAACTCTATGCATTGCATTTTTTTCTTTTGTAAAGATTTCACCAGATTTTTTTTTGAAACAGTTAAGTTTTTCACAAAAAATCATGGATTATGTGAAAAATACAATAATTTGCCTCCAAACACATTTATCTTATGTAAAATACACTTTGCTCTGTTATTGATGAAGAGGGGGGAGAAGGAGGAGGAGGAGGAGGAGGAGGAGGAGGAGGAGGAGGAGGAGGAGGAGGAGGAGGAGATGAGAGTAGTGGCAGTAGCATTTTTCTTTCACATGTCTAAAAAAATGTATCAGTTCACATTTTTTTCCAGTGGGACATCTCAATGTTTGAAGAGATGTTTCTTGTCAAGACAAGAAAATGTGCAAATATTTTTGCATCCCTAGCTTACATGCATACTATCTCAGTCCTACCAGTCTACCAAATGTCATGCTTTCTTAATGTGCATTCTCAGCTTTGGAGTGACATCCTTGCCATCAGAGTTAGTTGGGTGCTGATGAAATTATGGAATGGGCTGGATGAGTAACACTAAACTATTGTTTGTTGTTGTTGTTAGCTGGCTTCAAGTTGACTTATGACGACCCTGTGAATGAGACATCTCCAAGCCCCCACTATACCTCTTTGCTCAAGTCCTGCAGGCTCAGGCCTGTGGTCTCCCTGATTGAGTCTATCTATCTGGCATGTGGTCTTCCTCTCTTTCTACTGCCCTCTACCTTCCCTAGCATCAATGTCTTTTCTAATGAGTTGTGCCTTCCCATTATGATTGAAGGACAACAGCCTCAATTTAATCATCTTGGCTTCCGGGGAGAGTTCAGGCTTGATTTGTTCTAGGTCCCAATAGTTTGTCTTTTTAGCTGTCCACAGTATCTTCAGCACTCTTCCCCAGCACCACATTTCCAATTATTTTATTTTCTTCCTATTGCTTTCTTCACTGTCTAGCTCTCACATCCATACATGGTAATGGGGAATACAATAGCTTGGACAGTTCTAACTATAGTGTTCAGCTGTATATCTTTACACTTTAGGATTTTGTCTAGCTCTTTCAAAGCTGTCCTTTCCTCATGGGCACCAATGCATATTGGAGTGGTTGGTTGGATGGCCCTTGTGGTCTCTTCCAACTCTATGATTCTATGATTCCCATTCCTAATCTTCTGATTTCTTGATTGCAGTCTCCATTCTGAACAATGTTTGATCCAAGGTATGGGAAATCTTTAACTGTTTTGATTTCCACATTATCTAGCTGAAACTTAATAAAACAGAGGCAATGTATATTGGTGGCTCATGGTTCCAGGAATTTGACAAATGGTTTGGCTTGGATGGAACTCCATTCTCTTGTGTCAATAGGCATGTAGCTGGGGTTCAGGGGTGAGCAGGGAGGAAGGGGGGCAAAATCCCTATGGCCTGGATCTTGGAGGGGGCTAGGCCTCATGGGGACTGGACAGTAAATAAGCAAGCAATGTCTGTCATTCAGTTGTGAGAGATGCCTGCATAAGTCACACCATATAAGCATTGTGTGGCAATGATTAGCCATACCTCAGCAGATGTATTCTGCTGACATCAGCAGAAGTGGTGTTGTACATAAAGCAATGTTGTACATTGTGGTTATGCATTGTGTTCTGCGCATTGATTGTGCATTACGTATTGCAGTTGTGCATTGAACCTTTCTCATTGCATATTGCCCATTATGCATTGCAGTAATTGATGTGTTATGCAATGTTGCCCTTCTGCATGGTGGTTGTATAATGCTGGTGTTAGATACATCTGCATGGGGATATTTACACTACACTGAGTGGATGCTGGATTTCAGCCATTGTTACAAAACAAAATTGGGCATTGCAACTGCCCAAAAAGTGACTATAATATCTGTTGCTAATCTTTTGCAGCATGTTGGGAGTTGATCATATATTTTGCCCTGGACCCAGTGCCAGTTCTCAGAAGCCCTGCTTGGCAGCACTCCCAGATTCATCTCTGTCATTGGAAACTCAAGTAGATTGTGTGCCTCAGATTGCCTAGGGCCAATTTAAGTTGGTCTGCCAGCTATGAGCTTTTCTGGACAGGGATAGCCTGACCACAGTAGTTCATGTCCTTTAACTTACCTATTCGACAATGCAATGCACTCTACATGAGGCTAAACTTGAAGATGAGTCAGAACCTGCAGCTAGTGCAATATGAAGCAGCTAGATTTCTGATGAGCATATCTCATAGGAGCAATAGGTCACCAGTTTTAAAAGGATTACACTAACTACCAATACACTTCCAGTTTGAATTCAAGGTACTGGCCATGATATTTATAGCCCTAAATGGCCAAGTACTTTGATAAGCAAAGAAGTGGTTGTTGTTGTTGTTGTTGGCTGTCTTCAAGTCATTTCCAACCTATGGCAACCCTAAGATGATCTGATAATGGAATTTCCTTGGCAAGATTTGTTCAGAGGGAGTTTGCCTTTGCTTTCCTCTGAAGCTGAGAGTTTATGACTTAAAACACTGTAAAAATGCAGTTTGACATCACTTTAACTGCCATGGCTCCATCCTACAGAATCCTAGGATTTTAGTTTTGTGAGGCACCAGCACTCTTTGGCAGAGAAGACTAAAGGCCTTGTAAAACTACAAATCCTTATATTCCATAGGATGGAGCTGCAGCATTTAAAGTGGTGTAAAATGACATTATTTCTACAGTGCAGAAGCACCCTTGCCCATGGTTTCCCAATAGATTTCCATGGCCAAGCAGGGAATGGAACCCTGGTCTCCAGAGTCATAGTCCAGTGCTCTGAACACTACACTATGCTGGCTCTTACTCGAAGAACCACCTCACTCTATATATGACTGCTTGAAGAGATGGGGGGACCCATTCTCTGCTGGGTGACCCCTTCTCTAAATCTCACCAGAAGAAGCCAGACTCTGTTTGAGGACACGGGAGTGGACCTTGTTTGCAGCAGTGCTCTGGTTCTGGAAGGTCTTTTCATTAGAGGCCTCATTGGCGCTGGCACTTGTTTCCTTTCAATTCCACATTAAAATACAGCTTATTATTATGGCCTCTGATCAAATGATATTATCCAAATCTGTCTATGTTTCTGGGTTTGATCTGTTTTAATTTTTCTAATTTTCTTAAATTGTTCAACTTCCATATAGATTGTTTAAGTTATTTAAATTTTTCGAATCATTTCAAATTATTTAAATTGAGTTTAGATACAGATAAGTTTGGAAACTATTCTGTGTAAAATTTGCCTGTGACTGTTTTGTGTCAGAAACATAACATTTTGCACAGGTAAAAGCATTTTCCACATGGAAAATATTTTCTTCTGTCTAGATGTATTATATTCTGCCCTACAAATAATGTTTCCTGTGCAGAAAATCCTCCTTGCTATATGAACATACCATGTACAATTTTTGTGCAGAATGAGTCCTGACCTACAAAAAATCTTTGAAACCTTCACACTTTTCAGACTTTCTCACAGGAAGGAGACTGCTAAATTACTCATTGCTTCCTTTGAAATAAAAAATAGTCAGAAATTACATCCCTACCATGGACGAGCTTTTATTTAGAACAAAAAGCTATTGAAGGCCATGGCCTAACAACAATGGAAAGGAATTAGGTAGGACAACAAGTTTTAACAGTCCAGTCTTCCATTGTCTGTTCATTATACACTTGCTCCTTCAGTGCAGGCTCTTCCTTGAAAGATTATTACTCCATCATACTATAAAATAAGAAACAAAGGGCAACTCACAAATAAAAAAGAGACTGGGGGGAGCCATTGTATATTTCAATCCAGGTGATCTTTCCAAATCCCATTCGCCTTTTGTGCGCAGGCATTTATCTTTTCACCGATGACCTTCAACAATGAGTCAGAGCTCCCTGGCTTGGATGCTGGAGATGTCGGCTTTTGTTGATAGGAGAACAAAAATCAAATGAGGACATAAATTACTTCTGTGAGAAAGTGAGGAAGAAAATTTGGGGGAGGTGAGAAGAGCTGGTGGGGGGAATACTATTCATAGCAGAGACTTAGAAGTAAAACATGAAGTCCAATTACAGGGCAACCGCTTCCCTCACATTTTCTGCACCATTGCAGTTATGAATGTGTATCCTAGAGATACACATTCTTAACAGATTCATATTCACGATCCCTATGCATTCAGTAGTGTTGGGAATATATAGGAATCATAAAAGTTCCCTAACCCTTACTTACTAGGCATAGTTGCTGCAAGCAACAGGGGTTTGTTCTCCTCTCAGTCAGGAGGCAGCAGACTGATGTTTCCATCCCATCTGGCAAGTGATCTCCAATATTGCAAGGGGGATCTTGCTTCTGACTGTTGAATTGGAGATTGCTGGCGATCACAGTTAGAAAAAGGATTCCTGTTACAAGTCCTCCTCACACCAAAGATTGCTGCTGGGAGGGTAGTGGGAACATGAGGAGAACAGACCCCTGTTTTCACAGCAATTGCTGCCCAGTAAGTCAAGGTAGGGTCAGGCTAGAAGATGCTACTTGACTACACTTGGATAGTTAGGTAACTAAGTAGTGCATGTAGAATTCTGCCTGAGACTTATTACCAGTTGGTTTATTGCTGAGAGAAGGAAACAATATGTAGCCACCTCCACCCAACCAGCCTACATCCAGTAGTCTACTGCAGCCAGGGCTAACGGGTTTGAAGCTGCAGGATTTTCTGATTTGCAAGGACGATGACATCTTCTGTCACCCTCCTTGAACTCCCTTGTTTTCCATTTTGAGCTCAAGAGCTGAAGAGAAATTTCCCACCAACAATTTATTGTTATGCTCTATCTCTATTGTAATGTAAAGTATTTGAGAGTGGCTTGATATGGAATGAGAAAGATTCATTAGCTGTACAAAAGACCTGCCCTTGGTACAGTAGAAAACTGCTAGAAATTAAGACAGACAGACCAACACAGCTGCCTGTATTATTGGACTCTTGTAAAGGTGTTTCAGTCAAAACTGTTACACTGAAAGCATGAACCTCAAAATTTAGCCCTACATAATTCTGCAAATCCCTCTTGAGTTCTTAATTAATGTCTAAACAGTGTATTAAGCAAAATGAAAACTACTAGTCTTATAGTGATGGCCCACCAAATGAACAATAAACATTCTGGTTTTGCTCTCAGCTACTGATGGTAAAAACAGATAGGGAGATTTTGCTTTGATTGTGGTTTATGTTGTGTTGAGGCTGATATTGATATGTACATGCCTATTCTAGATTATTATATGTACTTCCTACTGAGGCAGTAAGTTTCTGTGTCTACTGTATCAGTAAGACTTAGGCTTAGGGATGGAAAGAGAATCTAAAAATATTGGGAAATGGTAAAAAAAAAAACACCACCATGTTCTTTTCAAGTGATGGGAAACCCTGATGACAAGAATCAAGGACTAATGAAAATCTTCACAGTTCAGGTCTTATTCTGTGCAAAATTCATTCATGGTTGGTTTGCACAGGAAAAAAATTCTGTGTACATAAATATTAATTGCAGCACAGAAAATGATGTTTTCTGCATCAAAAAAAGCTGTAATTGGAAATTTATTCCATGTAAAATTTGCACATGGTTGATTTGCATACAAAACAACATTTTCTGTACAGCAGTCACTGCCCAGTAAGTCAAGGTAGGGTCAGGCTAGAAGATGCTACTTGACTACAAAACAACATCAGTATTTCTGCATCAAAATATTTTCCACACATGTTTTCTGTGCAAGCAAATGCTGTAATTGGGAATGGGCCTTTACAGACTGCCAGAAATAATGCAACTTGAGTCCACTTTAACTGTCCTGGCCCAGTGCTAGGGAATCATGAGAACTGTATTTTTTTCTGGGACATTGAGTCTTCTCTGTCAGAGAGCTCTGGTGTCACAATAAACTACAGTTCCCATGATTCCCTAGCACTGAGCCTGGGCAGTTAAAGTACACTCAAACTGCATTATTTCTGGCAGTCTGTAAAGGCCCATAGTTTGCATAAAATTTACACATTTGATTTACTATTTCCATGCAGAAAATGCTGTTTTCTGTGCAAAACAGCCACATACAAATTTTGCACACAATAAGTGCTGAATGGTGAATAGCCTTCAAAAACTGTGTGGTTTTCAAAGACTTTCTTGCAACAAGAAGAAAATTGCTAGAAGAAACTAAACGGAGAATTACATCCCTGCTTAGTCTTACATGATTAGAACCTCTTCCATGCCCGGTTATTTTCAAGTCCCTAGATGTAGACCAACAAATAAGGGAGAAATCTAGATTAGAAACTTTGTTCCTGGCATCCAATGTGTTGGGACACCCCCCCCAAGAAAATTTGTGTGTTCCCTTTTTAGATTACAGCTTCCAGAATCCTTTGGAAACTTGAATGTGACAGATGTTGGCTTAATACCCTGTAGGAAGGGCTTTTGTTGCAAATTACACAAGATCTAAGAAGGATCATGGATAGATCATACCAAAGGCAGTAATGGACTGAATGAAAAAAGAGACTGAGACTGAATCCAGATAAAATGGAGGTACTTGCAGTAGCAGCCCCAAAACCAGACATTGGGATAAAACCTCCAGTCCTGGATGGGGTCACACTCTCCTCTAAGGACTGTGTTCGCAGTCTGGGGGTGCTCCTGGATCCATTGCTTTAGATGACAAATCAGGTGAATGCAACAGTCAGGAGTGCCTGTTATCAGCTTTGGTTGATATGCCAGCTGTGCCCTTTCCTGGAAGTAAGGGACCTTGAAACTGTGGTGCATGTGCTGGTAACCTCCTGTCTTGATTTCTGTAAAGCGCTCTACATGGGGCTATCCTCATACTTGGTCCAGAAACTTCAATTAGTACAGAACATGTCAGCCAGGTTGATCTCAGGAACATCAAGGAGAGACCATATAACACCTGTTCTAAAATCACTCCACTGGCTGCCTATCAGTTTCCAGGTTCAGCACAAGGTGTTGGTTATCACCTTTAAAGCCCTAAATGGCTTGGGTCCATCCTATCTTCAGGACCACCTCCTCCCCACACACTAAGGTCCTCTGGGAAGAAGTTGTTACAGCCTATCAAAATGAGGCTGTCTGCTACCTCCCAGAGGGCCTTTTCGGCAACCGATCCCAGATTATGGAATGGCCTTCCGAACGAGATCCATCATATTACCATCTTGAGCAGCTTTAAGAAGGCTGTTATGACAGATCTCTTCCAGCAGGCCTTTTCTGATTAGATTTCCTGGCCTTAAGAGTCAGTCTATTCTTCTCTTCTCCTATTTTATGCTGCAGCCAGGGTTATTGTTGTTTTTTTTGTGTGTGTGAACTTTTATTTTAAGAACGTTTTAAATTGTGATGTTGTTTAATATCTTTTTAAGGGGGTGGGTTTTGGGGTCCTTTGGGGTATCATTAAGATTGTATTTTATGGTAATTTTAATGCTGTAAACCACCTTGATTGCTCTGCAGAGGGGCAAGATATTATTATTATTATTATTATTATTATTATTATTATTATTATTATTATTATTATTATTATTATTATTGTTATTAAATGTCCATCTAGTTCAAGGGTGAGGAAAGTGCAGCTTGTAGGGTGCATGTAGTCTCCAGGGCTCCCAGGGCTCCCAAAATATTCTATTCTAGATTCTAGACTATGAGTGGTCATTATTTGGGGAACAGGGTACTTCTTCCTCCATAGCTGATTTTTGTGCTTTAGGGAAATGTGCAGATTTTAATGTTTAAAACCAATCTTCTCTAAAATAAGACTCATTCTCCCCACACTTTTAACTTGCAAAAAAGTCTGTGCTTCCAAGAACATGAAAGTAGCTGGGAAAACAAATATTTCTTCAGTTA